AATTTCTCCGTTTTCCGTGGATGTTGATATTGTTGTGTTGTTGAACTGAAGAAAAAAACAAGAAAATAGACTTAATCTACGTATTCATACGGTGAAATTGAGGTTTAAAGGTTATTTATACGACAAACTAAAGCTTTTTTTAATCACCTGGCCAAGGCATTTCAGGTTGATGGTTGCCCTCCATTCCAGGGGCACCTGAAAACAGTATTTCTTGGTTAAAAATATGATTAAAGGTTATGTCCCTAATTATATAAATTAAATTCGCCGGCGCTCCGGTAGGAATTGAACCAACAACACCTCTATGATTTCGAAACACTGAAATCACAATGCTTCCTATAGTTATAAGAAAGTATGTACCTGACGAAGTAAACATTCTCCATCTTTGAAAAAGCGTCGATTTGAGGCAGTCTAAGACAACAGCAACGAAAGTTACGAGCTATTTACACGCGCTTGTGAATCAATATTTTAAGCGTATTATATTCCACTTACCTCTTGGATTCATATTGTACGTTTTATGTCGAGACATAAGCTCTTGCATCGGTTCAAGAATGAAACAAATCTGCAGAATGAATAATAAGAGAATCAGTCTTCGGGTTCAGGTTGCTGTTCTGGCTACAAATCACAACAGTTACATATACTGTATGCTGGATATTCAAAAGCCGACTAAAGCCTTAAAAATCTTCAAAACAAACTTCCAAAAGGAAATTTTCAGCAAGGGTCTTACGTTAAGTAATGTAAGCGTGTTGCTGGTCATTCCTTTAATGGTGATATTTTTTGCTTGTTCGTCCATGAAATTAGGATCCGTTTGAAGAACACTGCGTGAAACAAACTCCTCGTGATGGTGGACGAAGAAACTCCAAGTTCGTATCCTCATCAAATCATCAAAAGTGAACTCTAATATCAGTCGTCCTTCGGTCAGAACCTAGAAAAACAAAACAAACTCTCATCTAAACAATACTTATCTTTTTTTTACAATTAAAAACTCAACGAGATTCTTGTAAACCCCTCTCTTGAAAGAACTGATATCTAAGCGACGTTTTCTCAAACACGAGTGCCATTGACTTTATTTGCAAAGGTTACACATGCTTTCTATTTGATGTTTTCAAGATGAGAAAATTCGCAGGTGTTGTCTCGCTACAGAGCAAAAGTACATATTACTCTACCTTTGTGTGAAGACGTTTTATGTAAGTCGTGGTCATTGTCGCCTTATCGCAGTCCAGAACAATGACGTTATTTTGATAGCTTTCCTTGGGCTGTACCAAAGAATAGGAAAGATCTGTCGCTCCACCGTCAAAAATGCTTCGAAAATATCGCGGAATGAGATTTCTGCCAATTGCTGGAGGAAAATTATTGCAAGAGATGTATTTGGTTTGTCTGACGTGAAGCACAGCCTTTACCAAAAGCTTGCTAAAGTTCCCATATTTCTTACATTCCCAGCTAACATTGTCTTATTGTGATGGTGCAACTACTAATCAAGTTATTACTAAGCATATCTGGTTGGTGACTGAAAGTGTAGCACTATGCACACACATGCAGACACAATCATTAACTTATTGTTATCTCTACAAGGAAGGCGCATAATACCACCAACTTACTGAAAGTTTTAGGGCCGTCGTCTAGACAAAAATTGAGCGTCATGGTTGCATCATCTTCGAAGAATTCCGATGTGAATGCATTCCACCAGAGAATGTCAGCCTGGCGAGGTGGAAATTTTTGGATAAAAAATCTTAAAACTTAAATCTTTCCCTTTTTACTCAGTTTCAATTTTTTTTGGAATAAGAGATACCAAAATTTTCAACCCAAGGGTGTGGTCTTAATAGGTCTAGAAGATTATTACAGTCTTTAAAACAAGACTAACATTTGGTAATTTTTTAAATAATCTCTTCTACCTTGCAAGAAACAGGTAAAAAAGTTCATGTCTCAATTTTAAAACATGTTCACTAGTTAAGCTAATTACAGCACTTTCAATACTGAAAAAATTTTACCTCGTTTTTTTCCTGCAGACGTTTGTTTAGTTCGTAAATTCTGTAGTCAGGATTGGCATAGTGAGTGTGACACCTGAAATTTTACCAGAATCCATTATTAGCACATTTCTGACTGTTTTAGTATCAACTTAAGTCTAAAGAATGAAGCTGAGGCATACTCCAGATACATATGGAGCTCACACATATTAAAATCCTTACTCCAGACATACATGGAGCTCAATGGCAACAGCTGCTCTTTTGACCAAATTTGCTATTAGTACTCCAGATATATATGGAGCTCACTGACAACACCAGAAAAGTTTGGTCCTTACTCCAGATGTTATATATGGAGCTCACCAACAGATTAGAACATCTTACTCCAAGTAAGCAAGAAGCTCACATGCACATTTAGTATTTCTTACTCCAGGTATGTGTACGGAGTGCACTGGCAAGAGCTGACATGTTTGTTGAGAGAGTTCCCACTTCATGTATATAAAATTATGGAGCTCATTTACCCATTAGGACTTTGTACCCAGATATAATGAAGTTCATTGAATACAGCAGACATATTGACCTTCATTTTAGAAATTCTAACTCCAGGTATATACGAAGTTCACAGACATATTAGAAGACCAACACCGGCAAAGTTCAAAGTGTATAGAACGAACATCTGTTAAGGTATGTAGCTCATTGCAAAGGGGTTTGTATATGACGGAATTTTGAGCCATTTGTGTATGTGCTTGCAATGACTGAGACAAAACTAAATTTCTATGGAGAAAGCTAATAAATTTGACTTTATGGCAACTGTTTAAAATGCCTCAAATTCCAAATATAATGAGAAAGGGAAATTATGCTGAGCTCCTAGTGGGGAGAGGTCAAATAAGAGTAATACTTGTGCACTTTATACATCATTGAAATGATTATATATCCGACAAAATTGCAGAAGATTTAGTCCATTTTTCATCACGTTAAATGCAACAACCCCTGAAGCAAGAAATGGATTTTTGTATCCATATTAATATACTGAGAAATAGTATATCAGGGTTATTACTGCTTCCCACAAAAGTTAGGATGGGTTGTGAAAGCAAATTATTTCAGAAAGCAAACAATAGCTTTTACTAATTGCTACATGGACAATCGAGGTTTTTTATTAGACCTTTCTTCATTCAAGCATTCCTTTCAATGAGACAAAATGTGTGCAAACATTGTGAAAAGCACTAACTTCAACATAAGCAAATTAATAAATTATATGTAAGGAACTTTTTTTTGCCCACAAAGAAAAATTTTCAAAAAAGTACACAACATATATTTGCCTGAAGCGTTTACCCAGCGTTTGTAAGAATTTTATAAGTTCTAAAGATGACCAAATTGGAAATATATTTCGCATAAAAACGTCGCCTCTGATATTAGTAATTTGGAAAAGCTTTGACTTGCCCAGTGATATTTAACAAAGACCTTTGCGCTAAGCTAGAAAAATACTACTTTAACCGTTTAAAAGATATAATCATTAAACCTAAGCACTTGTGCTTATCTTTGGATGATATAATCTAAAGTACAGCTAGTTGAAAATGGTCCTATTGTACAATAATCGTTGTTTATACAACGATCTCATGCGGCAAATTGTGCGAAGGCAGCCCATAGCCGATAGGAGTTCGTCGCGAGCTGTGCCATTTACAAACCGTGTTTTAATCTGACCTTACGAAGAAGAAAGGACGGAAAACTCACCCTTGTGAGAAGCTAGGACTCGGTAAGGGCACACTTGGCATCCTCTGAGGCTCAATTTTGACAAACGGGCGTTGAAAATTCCCTCGAGAAATTTTAAATTCGGGCGCTCGCGTCTTGAACGGCCTGTTCCTACAAGACAAAAGAGGTCAAAAAAAACATTAGCCTTGATGAATGCAATACGGCATTACAAGCCTCGGACACTTGTAGAATTATAAATCCCGTGCCGTTAGTTTCGCGTGTGTTGATCATTTCAAAGCAAAAGGCACGGCATGTTGATCTGTCATATTTGTTGAACTCGCCGAGTTGTGTCTACGAGGTGTAAAAGTCATACAACGGTACCAAAAAATTTGGCCTTTTGCTCCTGCCTATAAGCCGTCGATCGCTGTGAGATAGAAGAATACGTACCCGTGTATAAATATCAGATGGTCAATATCATTGTTTTGAACTCAGATCTTGGAAAACATCGCTGTTTTAATAAACATTCTTCTCTTTACAGCGTCCATAGGCCGCCATCTTTGTTTAGAGAGTGAATACTTCAATTTCAAACGCGCATTGTGTACTATAGGGACAAAAACCCGGGGACCAGCGTCACGACCGCACACATACCCGATCGGGTACATTGATTATGGGAAAGGTAAAAATTCCATGTTCAGTATACACAAATATGCATACAACACCCTTTGTGAACTGTAAAAAAAACCTGGAACGCTGTAACTATGTAAAATACAATGGCTGACTCGACCATGGTCGAATGTGCCGAAGAATGGCTGACTCGACCATGGTCGAATGCGCCGGAAAATGGCGGACTCGACCATGGTCGAATGTGCCGAAAAATGGCGGACTCGACCATGGTCGAATCACTCGAATGTGCCGAAAAATGGCTTAAACGACCCATGGTCGAATGTACCGAAAAACGGTATACTCGATCATGGTCGAGTCACTCGAATGTACCGAAATATGGTATACTCGACCATGCTCGAATGTACCGGAATATGGTACATACCATACAAGAGTTGAATTCCGGGATATTTCACCATTCCAAGGTTTAATATACCATGTTCAGGTATATTAGACCATCGCCCAGTTTTTATCTTTTCTTAATTTAGACTAGTCTTAATTTACGTATTCAATTTTTTGTTTGTGAGATTTTGACTAATGCAATAAGACTGATGAGTCGCATCAGTCTGGATCTGCTCGCAGATAGAGTCGAAGATAGAGGTCTTGCAAGTGGTAGTCTGGTAGGTCGATGGTCATGGTCGTGGTTCCAATTCCAATCATGTTTTGTATGAAAACCACGAGGTTCAGCTGCCTCGTATCCAGGTCCCTGGCGCTTGAGATTAGGTCACCCAAACCAAACAAATCGACAGCAAAATGTATATTCTCGGAAAGTCGCAAGGATTCTTCGATTTTCGGAGATTCTTCGATTCTTCGACGAGCAAATTATTCTGCTCGTTCCTATTCGCTAGTGTTTTATGCAATGTCGAAGCGGGAAGACCAAATTTTGTTGTATTCATTGTAGATGACCTGGGCATCGGTGACATTGGCTGTTTTGGTAACGACACGATTAAGACGCCAAATATTGATAGCATCGCATCGCAAGGAGTGAGATTAAACCACAATTTAGCTCCTTATTCCATGTGTACCCCAAGCAGGGCTGCCACCCTCACAGGAAGGTATGCCGTGAGGTCTGGCTTCGCTGCTGGCCCAGGCGATGTGAGAGTTATATCAGAACTTGCTATGTCTGGTGGTTTGCCAGCTAACGAGATCACGCTTGCAGAAATTTTGAGGGACGATGGCTATAGAACGGGTTTGTATTTTTATATATTAGTGCATTCTTGGCAGTAAAAATTTGTAAAGTAAAAGAATCGACAATAATATTACCTGATATAAATAAAATGTTCTCACTTTATGTTTACACGATTCACTACCAAATGCAATACGATATTGACCTATTGTTGTTAAAGTTTAAAGTGGCTAGAACAATTAACACCGATAACACGTGTATGTCTGCATGTTAGTATGTACCTTTCTGCTGGCGAGTAAATAAATTGGAAAGCTACTCTGTGCCGAGCTCTGGGTTACAACAGGCTTACACTTTACAGCAACCAGCAATTTAAAGATGGTTTTCTTGGCGATAACCAGGTCCTTCCCAAAACTCTTATCGCCGTTTTTCATGCGTGCAAATAGATGTGACATTTGCATTGTACGAATATTATATCAGAATATACGAGTTATATTAACTAGGTAAATTTTAAATCTGAGCGAACAGCAAGCCAGTGAGGAACAATGCATTTCTGTTTCCCTACGTAGGTCTGATTGGAAAATGGCATCTGGGATTGAACTGCGAGAACAATAACGACTCCTGCCACAATCCAATCAACGCTGGATTTCAGGAATATTACGGTCTGCCTTTTACCAATGTCGGTGGGATATGTACGCGCCCGGAGGATGGGGCGAGGGCGGTAAAGAAATCCCAGGAAAAAGCCAGGAACCGTATTATAGCCACCTTACTCCTCGCTATTGGACTCTATTCTCTGGGAATCGTATCGGCAAAGTCTGCATTGATATTTGCACTAGTATTTTCAATCATTTTCTCGTTACCTCCGTTAATTCTGAAGATGGTCATATCGAGAATGGAGTGTCCGTTGATGCGGGATTTTAATATTGTGGAACAACCCGTTGTCATTGAAAATTTGACTGTGAGATTTACCGAAGAAGCAAAGAGCTTTGTCAGGCGAAATAAAGAACATCCTTTTCTTCTTTTTATGTGCTATATAAAGGTTCACACATCTCTCTTCACCTCACCGAAGTTCAAAGGTAAATACAACAAGTTTTTCGTTGTCCTATACACGTTGTCAGATCAACACATACATATTTATAATAAAATTACAATGTCAATGACTAGTGCCTGGTTTCCATTTAGTCGCGTGGGTCGTTAACATATCAACGTAGCTGGTGTGATAGAATATTTCTGTCTGTCTAATTTGAATACAGAAATAAGGTCTATTCGAAGTAAATAGTTTATTTTCAATAGAAGTACGTAAAAAATGCATAAGATGTAATGCATAAGTCATTCACAAGATATATGACAGTATTTTTAAACTTTGGCTTATCCACCGTTTAAGCTAAACGCCTTTCGAACAACTGGCCCTGTACTATAATTAAGAAGCCGTGGAAAAAACAGTATTCGAACTTTAGCCGTGCGGAAAACATGCAGTAGCTGTCAAAACAGTATTCGGACGTTAGCTAGCTGCATTCAGTCAACTTGGGCATTCTTTAGGCCACAGCGTTCATGGAAATTACGGTGACAACGTCGAAGAAATGGATTGGAGTGTCGGAGAAATAATTTCAAGTCTCAGAGATGAGAACCTTTTGACGAACACGATGGTGTATTTCACCTCAGACCACGGGCCACATTTGGAAGAGACTATGGATACGGGGGAGTACTGCGGGGGATGGAGGGGGAATTACACAGGAGGTGAGTTGATTGTGAGGAGTAAAGTTCGTAGTGGTCATAACCGGTTCTTTTGCAACACAAATCCAGTTTTCTGGAATATCCGTTTAGAAATTAGTGTTGGAAAAACATTTTGGAAGACGATTTTGCCGTTAAAATTGGGGTGCGTGCTCTTTGAGAAACGAAGCATAATCGTTATGAAAGAGTTATGAAAATCGTTATATAACATAACTGCTCTGATTTATAGACACATTCCCATTTGTCTTAAAATAAGACTGTCCGTCCGCGCGAGCCAAGCACGTTTTGTTTTTTAGGCCCATCACGGTCGCGAAAAACGCAGTACGCGAAAAACCTGAGAACGAGGATGGTATATCACTAGTGTCCAGGCTTCCACAGGTTGGAATTCAATATGGCGGCAAATGTGAAAGTTTACCTCTTCAACCTCGTCCTAATATCTCTTTGATTCCATGGACAACACCGTTCATTTTCATTTTCCTGACACAATAGTGTTATCAATCTTTTATCACCTCTCTCTTCCCGACTTAAGAAATGCGTCGATAGTTTGTAAACAGTGGAATAATTTGGCCCGATCCACGTGGAGAAAATGGCTAAAACGTTGGGAAACTACATCGAAGATTAATATTTTTGGCGATGAGAATAAAATCACAGATGATGTATTGAAGTCTTGCTTCACGATAGGAAAAGAGAAGTGGTTACCTCACCCAATAGCCAGGCTTCGAGAGTACGTCACTGTGAATATTGAAAACGCCGAGGTGAATGATTGCGAGTTTTCTGGCTTCAACTCGTCGGAACTTACTCGTATAACTCTCCTCGTACGACTAAACCCGTACTGTGCCTTCACCACGAGAGGCAAAGATTCAAATGACAGTGATATTGTCAGCGCGTGTAAACAATTCTGGATGGAAGAATTTTGGTCAGGTCAAGTGGAAGAGGATTCAGAATGTTCTTCATCATCAGGTCAAGGTCAAGGGATATTTGACTCTTACGAAGATATCCTAAAACAAGCTAACTATGTATCTCGCCAGGCAGCACTCGATAGAATCCTTGATTTTTTACATCCGGAAAAGTATTTTGGTTGCTATGGAGATGATGCAATGGGACGTTCGAAACCATACCTGGTTGATGAAGAAGGGAATGTGGTGAAAACCAATCATCGGAAAACCAATGATGAAGAGGAGGATGAAGAGCCACCTGAGGAAGAATACGGTGATGACGCCCAGCCTTTGTCACTGGACATCTACAATGAACTCAAAGCAATATTCGCTGACAAAAGTGACAATTTCATATTCTACTTCCTGACAAATGGCTGCTGTAATGAAAATGAAAGATATGGTTATTACATGTTAATTAGTGACACTGCAGTGTTTCATGTAAAACAAATTTATGTTTTATGACTTTGTGATATTCACTTTTGTTGAGCTCGTTTTGCAAGCAAGTTCATATTGTATTTTGATGGGATTTGAAGTTGTGTTTAGTAGCACCGTGCAGCCAAACGTTTTTTAATTACCTGTCTTAGGCCTCCAAGTGTGTCAGATTTCAGCAACAATCTTGAAATGTAAGGGGTGAGGTTGAAAAAGAAACTATGAACAAAGTGTTTAAAAGTTTATTATTTAGGAAGTGTATGTTAGACGTAAAAGCAATAGATAAATAAATGAGGTATTTCAGCTATTATCCATTGTTTTCAATGCGTTCAGATTTAGTAGAGATATGCACCTATTCTTTTTTTCGGCACATGAAAAGTTTGAGAAGTGCTATTCGCTAAGCAAAAAAGGAACAGCAGGTGTTGTATGCCGTGAAAATCAGACTTCAGAGGCCACAGACGCCTTCAAAATTATTTATACTTTTTCAACAATTCATTGTATCAGCCATAGGTAAAGACTTCGTACTTGAAATAGCAAAGTTGAGAAAAGATTACGACGTTCGTTTTGAAACAAACTTTCTCACATCTCAAAACCATTTCATGATAGATTGTCGACCTTACGATGATGATCACCAGTCAATTTTTGCAACCTTAGAGTTGGAATTTCTGTTACTATTATAGAAACAGTTTCTCAAATCTCAATTGCGTCGTTTTTGCAGGAAAAGGTCAAAGTTGGGAAGGCGGTATCCGTGTGCCAACAGCCGTCATGTGGAAAGACAAACTCCCTGAAGGCATCACCATCAACGAGCCTACAAATACAATGGATATTTTTACAACAATGACCAAACTTGCGGGCTCCAGTGTGCCTGAAGACAGACTTATCGACGGCAAAGACATCTTTCCGTTGTTAAAGCAAGAGGAATCCGTCTCTCCGCACGAGTTCATGTTCCATTACTGTGGCTCTTCGATACACGCGGTCAGATACAGACCGCGGGATGGTAATATCACCTGGAAAGCACATTTTGTAACTCCGATTTGGTCACCTGGCAAGCAGGAATGTGAAAGAGAGGATATTGTGTGTGGGTGCTTCGGTGACCACGTTGTCCAACATGATCCACCGTTGCTCTACGATATCACCAATGATCCATACGAGAGCAACCCACTTGAGACAGGAGACTATAAAGATGTGATACTGAAGATGAAAGAAGCTACAAAACGTCATAAATTGGGAGTTAAACCGGTTCCGTCTCAACTCTCATATCCGCACAATGTTTGGCGTTCGTCTCTCCAACCTTGCTGTAACTTCCCATACTGTACTTGTGTTGAAAATTCCTGAACTTTCCGCTGCAGTCTTCGTCAGTTTAAATCATGCAACGGAAGAGAACATTTGCTGGGATTTTCTATCTCATTTCGGGCAAAGAACGATGTGATGTAAATATGATTCACAAGTTGCGAGAAAGTGTTTGTTTTATTGGTTGTTTTGGCGATATTTTGCTTTGAAAACATGTCCTTCGGAAGACGCGAAATAAATGACGAGTTAAACAACGTGCCTTTTGAAAACATTTATAAGCTTACAGATTATGAATTATTCCTCCTACACCGTTTTGTCTTGACTGCATCCATGTTCATCTTTCCTATCTGTCATGCTTCATATATCTTGTTCTTCTCGTTTTACTTTCTTTACACAAAGTTTATGAAACGCTTTTGCAAAAAGGTTTACGAAACGACAGTTAAATTCCTGACGTACGTTCTCATTGAAATACAAACTTTTTGTCTTAGCCAATTGGAAAGTTCGTTGATTACTAGTCGTTACACGCGCATGCGCATAACTTACAAAACCACCCAACGTCGATCGTCCATGACATAGAATTTGGACCATAGATATTATAAATAACACTGTGTTATTATAAATAACGTCGTGTTATTTATAATCTCTATCCATTATTTGGACAACTTTGGATGCACCTATGTTCTCCCGGGTTCCGGGTGTAATTCCTAATCTCCGAGCGGAATTGGTACCCTCGCTGGCGCTCCGCGCCCGCTCCCGCTCGGGGACAAAAACCATAATACCAGCTGGTTGAGTGATTCCTTTTATTAGAAGTTAAATTTTCAATTTGATAATCTTTCATTTCAAATATTTTAAAAAGACTTTTGAATTAAAGTCTTTTTATCAAAGAATGATACTTAAGAATATGGATTCATGCTCTTTATTAGTTCTCCCCGTAACATATTATTTTCTAAGATTTAGTTTGACGAACAGCAAATTTGAGCAATAAGATTCGTATGTACCTATATGTCCCTAACGACCCCCGACTGTGGTCCAGCCATCGCTACCATCCCCCTCCGGCTTCCGGTCACGTTCGCCGCTACTAGTGACACCGCTGCCCCCTTTACGAGCCGCCGACCATGAACGACCTACAAAAACGAAAACAGCAGTTAGAAAAGGCAATGCAGCATTGATTTCTTGAACATGAAATTTGTTTTAACTACGAATGAAAGAATAACATGAAGTAGCTACCTTCAGACCGGACGGCAGGAGGTCCATCACGTCGCCATGGTCCAGGATCTCTTTCATCATCTCTGTTCCTCCATCTTCCTCCACCCTCTCTATCGTCTGGACGCCGTGGGGGTCCTCGGTCATCTGAGTAACGGTCACCACCCGCACGGGGAGGTGGGCCACGATCATCTCTAGGGGGACCTCTGCTGCCACGCCAGGAACTGTCACCATCATCTCTAAACCCACCGCCTGCAATTATCATTAGTAACTTTATTAGTACATTCCATCTTAACCCTCACCCATATACATCCTCCCTTCACCCATCTCAAATTTAAGCGGGAAGAAGGAATGTGCCGACTGCATTTGTCACGTGTGCTTACCTCTGGGCGGTGGTCCATCACGAGGTCCTGAACCACGGTCACCTCCGTCGCGATCACGATCACGATCCCGACCCCATGCCGGGCGGTCACGATCATCCCCGCGGTCGTACCCGCCGCCACGTGGTCCACCCCGGTCTTGGTCACGACTCCACCCTCCACGGTCTTGATCCCGGTCACGACCCCATCCCCCACGGTCACGATCTTGGTCACGACCCCAAGGACGCCCTTGGTCACGGTCCCTTCCCCACGCTGGACGACCTAAAAAACAACACGTGAACTTGTCTATCAACGAAAAGCCTACATTTCAAGTGTGAAGTGGGCACGTGAAATACCCACCTCCATCGCGGTCCCTATCCATGTCCCGATCACGTGCAAAGCGGTCTCGATCACGATCCTGGTCACGTGAACCCCAAGCACCACCGCGGTCGCCACGGTCATCACGGCCCCACGCACGACCACTCTCGCGATCATCACGACCCCAGCCCGGGCGATCTCGATCCATCTCGCGATCTCCACGGCGCCACGCGCGATCACCACCATCTTGACCGGGGGGGCGCCACGAACCACCCTCCGATTCTGTATGAAGAATGAACAAGTGGGTTACGGCATTGACAGGTTGTCGATAAGAGGTTGAGATTATGAGACGTACTGTACAATGGGGGATTGTAGAAGACAATGAGAGATGTCGATGAGAGGTAATGAGGGATGATGAGGGTTTGTGCGAGATACTAAGGGTACATGATGGATAATGAGAGCTGTTGAGGGAAAATTGATACGGGATTAATAGGGTTGATGAGGGATTATTAGGGATGATGAGGAATGAAAGAAGGGTGGGAAATATCACACGGTGTATGTAAAACACTCACCGTCTCGCCCAACTTTCATTTCCCGCTCTTTTTCCTTCCTGGCCTCTTCTTCTCTTCGTTCAATTTCCATCTCTTTCTCTCGTTTCTTTCGTTCAATTTCATCCAGTTTCGCTTTCCTTTCTCTCTCCTCGGCCTCTTTTCGTTCATTCTCCTCGCGAGCAATCCTCTCCTTTTCTTCTCGCTCTGAAAACAAAACATGGACGTTCAAATCTCAAAGTGTTGAAAAATTGAATGAAAAAACTCGCATTTAAGCACGGGAAACTGAAATCCCCTCGGAACAACTGTAATTAAAATGCTCCTATGTGTTTTTTCTGCCACAAAACAGCCAAATACGCTTAGCAAACGATAAACAAAAACTCAACCTTTGCGTAATCGTTCCTCTTCGGCCTTTCGCTTCGCCTCCTCTTTCTCTCGTTGATATTTGACTTTCCTCTCACGGATTCGATCCAACCTACGATTGTTCAGGCGTTCTTTGCGAATATTGTTCAATTCTTCCTCGAATTTCTCATTCTTAGCCTAAAGCCCAGAAAACATTTCAAAAATTAGGCGTTTTATCGTTCAGTTTCGACAAAATTGTGTTCATATGGTGGTGCTTTGCTATTCGAAAACTTTTAAACAAGTAGCGAGCGCCATGTTTTTACAAGTCGTTGAGAGGTTTGCTTTAGTATTTTGTGAACACTTCATGGTTACAAGATGTGCATACGAAATCTAGTTTACCTCGTGAGCTTTCTTTCGGCTTTCAGCCAACTTTTCAAGGAATGCATCTCGGTCGTCCAGGATTCTCAACAAACGATTCTTCATTTCCATCGCTTTTTCCCGCTCACGAATCGCATTTTTTATCTGAAATATGACATGCCATAAAGTATAGATTGGTATAATTTGTTATAGCAAAATTATTATGATTTCTGGGTTTAAAAGGAATTCGGCTTGCTGTTGCTCGCAATTCATCATATTACCGTATTCTCTTGTTCTTCATCCCAGAACTCCTTATCAGCCACAACAAACTCTTCGTATTGCTTCACCAACAAAGGTATTTCCTCCAGCCTTTTCGCTCTCTCGAAATGATCAACTCTCTTCTCTTGAAGTCGCAATTTATGCTGAGTTTCCTTTTTCTCCCTGTCCAGTTGTTCAACCTGACGAGCCATGATGTCGTCAGCATCCATTTCTTCTATTTCCTGAAAATATAACAAGACACATTCTTGACCACATAATTTTCAATAATTATCATCCATTGTCCTCCTTTAACACTGAACCACCATCACCTATGATCCACGAACATCACTCATTATCAACTATATTACCACTCTCAACCATCACCATTCTCAACCATCATTCCTCACTATCAATCACTATCGCATATCATCACTCATTATCCCCTATTATCAAGATCCACCTATCACATGTTATCAACTTTTACCCGACTAACATACCTGTTCTGTCAAATTCTTCAAAGCTCGGGCACCAACAGTAGTTTTCTTTAAAGCCATAATCTTCTCCATTGCTTGTTTCTTCTCAATTTCCTGAAGCTCTCGTTGTTTTCGCTTTTCCTCCCTCATAGTCGCTTCGGCTTCGAGTCGTTGGCGTTCGGCAGCCAACGCCTTGTCTCGTTGCTTGTCGCGTTCAGCTTGTTCCTCTTTTACCTTCAAGAAAAAACACAACAGATTCAAACTTATGAAAATTTAAAACCCCAACAAGGAGCTATACACGAGATTAAGAGTCATAGTTGGAATTCATTAGATAGCAAACAAAACAAACACCTTACCTTCTTGATGCTCAAGTTCTCCAAATGCTCCTTTCGTTTTTCAATCATTTGCTTTCGTTTCAACATATCTTGATGCTCTCGTTTCGCTGTCTGTTCGTACGCGGCCATAGCATCTTCCAAGGTCTTTGCACGCTCCATCTAAACATGAGTTCAAATCAATATTTAACCAGAAACTACATCAATTGTTCCCACTCAAAATCCTAAAATTCTGCCTTCAAAACATTCACCAGCGTTTCAAACTCGCCAGTGTACAATACACGACGGAAAGAAGGATGAATATTAGATTAAACTTTTAAATGTACACACATCTGGGTTTGTTAAAGCCGAAAACATTTACACTTACCACTATTTCTGGCGGTTGCAAGATTTGAATAGCTTTGTGAAGAGCCTGAGACATTACAATCAACTGACTTCGTATTTTTTCTGAAGACAACGACTACAGTTAAAAAAACAACGATATTTTTATATCAATATGGATCAAATGTACACAGCATTATATCAACAAACATTGTCGTTCTTTATAAAACGAGTTCTCTTAATTTTAACACAGTGCAAGTGGCTACCGAGATATGTACAATATGTATGTACATGTATTGTATATTTTCATTTGGTTTTGCATCAGTGAAAGAGATATTATTCATAACAATTATTCATACTAGAAATACATTTCAACATCATATGCAAAACCATCTTTCTTTTATGAAGAAGATGGTGACTTTTTGGGGCAGAAATCAATCAAAATTTGATGTCATTTTCTCAGCGATTTAAAAGTGTTTTACCTGAAAATATGGTCCGTCCATGACCTCTTCCTTTTGGTCAACGCTGAGATCTGAACGGAAACTGATCGAATTCGAGCGATGATCGATAAGAACCTAGAGCAATGGACGACATAGAAAGACTAAGATCACTTCTCGTGGTGAATTGCCACTGAAATATTACGTATAAGTCAAAATCCAAAGTTCTGCATCAGTCTATGGGTGATGAAGTTACTCATCAAATTTCAGAAAAAGAAAATTGATCATCATTTGCAGAAAATATATCCTAATATATTCCCACTCTGTTCTGTTCAACCACTTCACTCTGAACTGATCTAATTTGCTCTATCCCACCCAGTTATTTTCACTTCATTCTGCTTCATTTGCTGCCATAATCTCTCCAACTCTTTCAT